CATTATTCACCCATTCAGCCCTCCCCGGTGCTCCCCCTTCCCCTCCGCCAGCCTCGCGCCCGCTCGCCGGCTTCCCCCAGTCTCTCTGAAGACAGATCGTTCCCTTAATCACTCTGGAAAAGAACCCCAAGCCGATATAATATTATAATTAATTAATTCACTAAAAAGGTATTAAATTTCTTTTCCCCCCTGTGGATATTATCTGAATTCATTGACCTTTAGAAAAATCACCCTCTAATTGTAACCAGGTTCAAGTGCATTTCCAGCCTGTCCCTTTTACATTAATAATATCTTCCAGGACTCTACTATGCTGCTTAAATATTGTATAAATTTAACTGTCCCCTAGAAAAAAAAAAAGGGAGGGGGGGAAAAGGGAGAGAAAGGCATGAAATGAGAACTAGGAGCTGATTAAACCAGCTCAGGAACACGAGGAAGAGCCCAGAGGATCCCACATTGGCTGGGGCAACGTGCAGATCTGCAGCTGGAGCCCAGAGGAGCTCCTGGATAGGAGGGAAGTGTTGGGAAGGCTCCTGATTGGAGCAGCCTTGGGAAAGGGTAATGTTTGAGCACCTGGGTGCAGAGATGCAGCTGGGAAAGGAGAGCTGCACATCCAGAGCTGTCCTCGGGGCATCTACATGGTCCAAAAAGTGCAAAAAAAAATGGGATTTCTGGATAGACCAGGATAACTGCAGCACTTTTGCTTACCCTTGGCATGGGCACATCACTCTCCGCTTTGCTGCGGCCACTTGCCCCGGCACTTCCCACCCTTCCCACCATTCCCGGATGCCGGCACGGCGCTCCTGGCTCCCTGCCTGCAAGGGCTCCAGGTTTGCAGCAAGTTCCAGGGGGTCCCTATTGGCAGAGCTTTGGAAAAAACGCCAGTGGAAAAAACAGGCTAAATTCCCCCTTTGGAGCCAGGTGCTCACTCAGGGACTGGCCTCACTCCTGCTCTTTGGAAGCGTTTCCTGCAGCAGCATCGGATGGTTTCCAGTCGCACGCTCTCCATCACGCGCAGGGATCCCCTTGCGAGGAGCAATAAACCTCCTGCTTTTCCCGGATCCCCCCGAAGGAACAGGAGAAGGGATGGGACAGGAGCAGCAGCTCCTGAGCATCCCAGAGCACTGAGTAGGGAGAAGCTGGTGCAGGGAGGGCAGGGGCTGCCACATCCCAGCAGCAGCACCCGGAGCATCCCGGAGAACCCCCGTCAAGCGCAGCCAATGTAGCTGCAGCATCCCCATCCCGCTGCTCCTGCGGGGCCGAGATCCCGGGAAGCAGGAAACCCTCGGCACGCTGCCGAGCATGCCCTCCCCTTTTATATCCTGCTCAGAGCTGCCACGCCGATTGCCTTTTCATTTTTTTCCCCTTTTTTCCGCTTCTTTGGGCAGCCCGCACGCTGTAATTAAGAGCCCTTCTCTCCCGCTCAAGACACGTCTCCAGCAGCTGTTTTCCAAGCCAAGGAAACCCCCTTTCGTCCTCGCTCGCCTTTATAATTTTTTTTTTCCCCTCCTTCTGAACATAAAGGGACGGCAGCACTCCAAGCCGGGGGCTTTTGCATTTCTGAGTTGGTTCTATTAATTGGAAGGAGGGTTAAGAATCTGCAAGGTCGTTTCAATCTACATCTGACCTTCAGAGTAATCCTCTATGCCAACACCAGAGCATGTCATTAAAATGAGGCCCTCTACCATATCCCGGCATCCCTTTATTCTCTCCTTGTGCACATTAATTGCTCATAAGTTGATTTGATCTCCCTATTCTGCAAGAAGTAAATTGCCCTCTTATTTCGCCATTTTCATCCTGTTTTCTTAATTAGGCCCTTAAAAATCTCTAGGGCCTCAGCCGGGCCGCAGGCCTCATCCTGGGAATAAATTTTGATCTGCGCCTGATAAAGAGTGAGCAAACCCGGCGCTCGCACAATGTCGCTCACCCCCTCCTTCCCCTCCCCACTATTCTCTTGACATGAAAAGGCTATCAGTTTTTCTCTGTGTTAATATAGGAAATAATTCACACTTCAGGCGTTGTTCTCTATTTAGTGTTCACACTCCCTAGATAAATCAAATCAGGATTTTTTTTTAATGTCTGAAACTACTCACTCTTTCTGTGCTCACCCCACCTCAAGCCCTGTTTCTCCTGCCCCTTCTAATAAAGTTTCCCACATTAGCCCCCATGGTTTTCCATCCTGGGGAGTTATTTTAGGACTTTTTTTTGGTGCACATACCCACATGTTTGATCCGACACCCCACGAGGACACTTTGCTTCCATATCCCCTTGCTTCTCACAGAGCATCCCAGCAGGGACAGGGTAGGTGTCCCCTGCAGCACAGAGTGCCAGGGTGCAGGTGGCCTTGGGTGCAGCCACCTTCCCCACACACTTCATCACCCACGTGCCAAACACCATCAAACAGCAACAGGTAGAAACGTACCACAGCTCCCCAAACAGGCACAGTCACAACAGGGTGTCGCTGCTTCCCAGACCAGTGCAGTTCAGCCCCAGGAACCCGCCTCCTCCTGCCTGTGCTTGCTAACACCTTGCAGCTATCATTAATTAAGGGCCAAAGCTGCTTCTCATTAGCACCAGCACTTTGCAGGATGCACTTGGGCTTGCACCTTGTCCAGGAGCTTGCACCTTGCCCAGGAGCCGGGCACTTCCTTCCCATGGGATGCTCTCCTCCAAGCGTGCCAACATTTCCACGGAGCAAAGCAGCTGTGTCCCCACGGGACCCCAGAGCTCTGATTTTCCTCCAGTTTCTGAGGCTGGTGCAAGCGGGCGCTCGGTGCAGCAGCAGTGCAGGGAGAACCATGCCGACAGCACCACCTTCTGCCACGGCGCGTCTGCGCACGCGGCCGGGCAGCGGGCACCCGCCGGGAACCTCCGTTTGGGAATGCCGGGAGCCTCCGCTTGGGAATGCCAGGAGCATCTGCTCAGGAAAGCCAGGAGCTTCCACTCAGGAACGCCAGGGGCATCTGCTCAGGAAAGCTGGGAGCTTCCACTCAAGAACACGAGGAGCCTCCGCTCAGGAACGCCAGGAGCTTCCACTCAGGAACACCAGGAGCCTTCGCTCAGGAGCCTCCTTCCATCCCAGGAGGAACAAACAGAAGCCGCAGGGCGACGCTCGGGGTTGTTGTAAATAAATATATTTTAATGATTCTTCTTCCATTCCAGTTCATTCTTTTATACATTTGTTTATAAAACAGTAGTAAAATTTTTTAATCAGAGCACAGTGCATTTAAAAAAACAAAACAAAACCCCCAAAAGATTAAAAAAAAATAGTAATCCACAGCTGTTCTTACTCAAGAGCCTGGGAAGATGCCACAGCTCGGGCTGAGTGGCCGCCGACAGCATCTGGGGCACCGCAAGTGTCACAGCCACCGGTACCACTGTCACCTCACCGGGCTGGGCTCCTCTGGTCACAGGGACGGGGACATCAAGGGGAGATGGCCCCAAACCTGCCTGCATCGCTCCTGGTGCCACCACAACCGTCCTCTCCATGTAGCCTCCCTGGGATGCTGCTCCTGGCACCTGCCCACGGAGCCGGGGCCAAAGGACTCCTCTAAAGATGCCCTTCCTTCCCTCCTTCCTTTCCTCCTCCCATTTCCACTTCCTGCAGACCCATGTCCAGCCGGGCCCCACGTTCTGCTCCTTGCTGCCTGGCCAGCTCTGCAAAACCAAGTCAAGCTGTGGGACAAGGTGGTAACAGCAGGGACAGACACAAGCCCTGTGAACCACAGGCAAGGAGCAGCTTCCCCAGTCTGGCATCTCCTGACTCCTTGGCCACAGCCCTCGGCAACCCAGTGCAGGTGGTCGGCTCTGTTTTCCATAAGCATCAGTTTTCCATCCCAAAAGTAACCCCCAGAAAACTCTGCAGAGCCACAGTGCGATGTGGCAATGCCCGACCCGGGAGGAGAGGCAGCTCCATCACCACGAGGCTGGGGGGACACAGCTCCTGCCGCCGTCAGGAGCGCATGGACCTGCATCTCCACCTCCGCCTGGTTCCATCCCACCAGACGGCACAGGGCTGTTTCACGAGGACATTCAAAGGTCCCCTGGCCTCGTGGAGCTCATTTCCAGACGCCGGTGTGGCCAGAGGATGGATGCGGCACCGAAGCCTCCAGAGAAGGGAATAACGGGAAAAGCCCCTGTGCATTTTGCTTCTGTTGCTGCTGCAGTTCTCATTTGGACCAACCCTGGGACACTGGAGCAGTGCTCAGGAGTTCCACCTGCCTCATCCGTTGGAGAAAATCCCAGCCTCAATGCCCCCCGCAGCCACCGAGGTCGGGATGGGGAATTGGCTGTGGTGCCAAAGTGGGAGTCCTGGGACAGAGATGCAAACTGAGGCTTTCACCTGGGCACTGCTCCAAGACTGGCGTTCATCCAAACAGACCCACCATCAGTTGCCTTACACCCAACATTTTGGAAGGTCCTGAATTTGCAGACACAGTCCCAACTCACTTGGAAAACATCTCTGGCGCTCCACAAACTAACTTGCTCTAACTGGGCACTTCTATCCCCTTCTGCCCCATTCCCCCCGGTGCTCCCGCGATGAGCAGCACCACTCCTTCCCAAACCAGCACGAAAGCGAAGGAGAAACCCCACTGGGGACGTGGCAATATGTCTGCAAGGCCGAGAGCCCCAGCTTGGGAAGAGCCGGAGGGAGCGCGGGATCGCAGAAGGACGATGCAAGAGGGAAGAGAGCCGAGGAAAACCTGGGGCTCTCCTCCCAGCTCCCAGGGGCTTTAAGGCTCCTCCTGAGCTTTGCCCTGGGTCTGGCGGGGGATCCAGGAGGGTTTCACTGAAAGGCAAAGCAGCCGAGATCATGCTCCCAGGCTGTGAAATCCGCAGTCAGTCCATTGCTGCTCGAGCTGCTGGCGAAAAGCTTGCAAAAGACATTCCGGTACCCGGCAAGCCTTGAACCGAGATCCCCGTTGCATAGAGAAGATGCACTCGGACCTGGAAAAGTGCTCGGCAGGACCGCTTCTCATCCGGGCAGGGGAGGAAGAGCGCCCTGTAACTTCCCTAGCCCATCTCCAGCCCTTGCCCCCGGTGCCAGCGCAGCTCCTGGTCACAGCATGTCTGTGTCCTCCATGCTAAAGCTGCTCCGGCGACTGCTGGCCTTGGAGGCCTCCGGGGACATGGCGGAGAACAAGGGGTCGGAAGCCAGGGGTAACATGGTGTCCTGCATCAGCATCAAGTCTAGATCCTTCTTGGATAGGGAAGGGAAGGAGAGGTTGTGGCCGGGCTCCAGGCTGTCCGGGAAACCGCTGGAGCCGTCGTCGAAGCTCAGGCTGTGGCTAAAGTCCAGCTGGTGGTAGGGAGACTGCGGTGGTGGCGGCAGCGCGGGCTGGGGCTGTGCCTCGGTGTCCAGGGGCAGCAGTGGCGGCTCCATCGTCCCCTCGTCCCCGCTGGCTTCTTGCTTCACCACCTGCTGAGCCAGCTCGGCCACGTTGACGCCCGAGGGCGAGGACGTGGGCAGCCCGTGGACCCGGGCTTGCATCTCCAGCTCCTGCCAAGAGAGCACACAGGGGCTTTAGTGGGGCCAAGATGTCACCACTCATGGGGACAGGGGCACAAGGGTGATGCGAAGCAGTGGCAGACGTGAAGCAGTTTTCCCAGTGAGGCTGTGGTCAATATGGAGATGGCTTTGGAGAGACGCGAGCTTGTTGATGCTCTCCATGAGATGCTTGCGGGGCCCAAGGAGCAGCTTTGACAGTGGCAGGAGGACGGAGGGAGAGCAGAGCCCAGGGGAACTCACCTGGATGCGGAGCAGGAGCTGCTTGTTCGTCATTTCCAGGCGCCGGGAGTGATTCTCCAGGTCTCGTGATCGCTGCAAGTCCTTCTGCATCCTCTTGATGTAGTCCACGGAGGCCTTCAGGATTGTCCCTTTGTTCCAGCGCACGTCCCTGCGGCACAGGGTGGAGGAAGGCATCAGCGTCTGCCTCTCTCCGAGCAGCCATGCAGCCTCTTGCCCCCGCTCCACCCAAAAGCCCCTCAGCAAATACCCCCCGGGAGCAGGTTTAGCATCCCCCAGAGCCCGCAGCTTCCCCCAGTACGTACAGGTCGTTGGCCTTGGGGATCAGCATCCCCAGTTCCTTGATGCGGTCGTTGATGTTAAACCTCCGCCGCCTCTCGACTACGGGGCGAGAAGAGAGGGGAGGCAATGAGGGGACGGGAGGTGCAGAGACACTTTGTCACCCCACAACCCCTCTGCTGCTCCCTTTGCACCAGGGAAGAGACACTGCTGCGCCCCACCGCCAGCCCCACCAGCCTCGGGGCACTTAAAGACAAGGAACTGCTGGGGTCAGTTTGGCAGGGCAGAAATACAGGAGATTTGGCTTGTCACATCTGAGGACACTCTGCAGACAGGAGGAGCATGCACCGAGCTCTCCAGGTCTCAGCTTCACCCAGCTGCAAACTCTGGACCAGGGAGCCCAATTCACCACCCCAGCAGGGTCTTCTGACCTTCCTCCCACTGCTAATGGGAATAATAACAGGGCGCCTCCCTCGGCATAGACCTTTTCCAGCCCGGGAGTCACGCTGGGGGCTGTATGGGGAAATCCCAGAGCGATCCAGGCTGGGAAGCGAGCCCAGCTCGGAGAGACGGGATGTGGCACGGGGTGCGCAGGCAGCAGGACTCACTCAGGTTGTGATTGTCTTTCTTCTGGCGCTCCTTGGCCAGGGCTCGGCTCTCAGCATCTGCAATGGAGACCCCCAACCTCAACTGAGAGCATCCTGGGCTGGGAAACCCCCGGGGTCCTGCTGGGCACGAGGACCTACCTGTCAGCTCCCTCTTCTGCGTGAGCTCGGCCGGGCAGGAGCTGCTGGTGACACCCACAAGGGAGGCGGTCACCTGCGGGTCCCCGCTGTATACGTTCATGTGGCTGCTGGACATGGGCAGCTGCAAAGGAAAGGGACACGAGGGTCAGCTCCATAGGGAGACAGAGCCGGGTGCTGCTGCCGAGTCCGGGCTTGGCCTCAGCTCCTCCGCCTGCGGGACACGAGCGAGGAGAGCAGACAGGTATAATTTGTCTTGCCAGGCCTTAAAATAGCTATAATCAGGGTAGCAAAGAAAACAGGACTTCAAAGGGCTCCATGGATCCCCTCCCACGACTGGCATCTAAAACAGGGCACATGAATCACATCCGAGGAGGGCCTGGCAGGATGGATCCCACTGCGCGGCACCGGCTCCCGCAGTCAGCGCTGACCAGGACAGGTCTAGCCCAGCCCAAAGCTTTGGGAGACGCTGCTGCTCCCCACATTAAAATCTGCCACGTCGCAGTTGCAGCGTTATCCCCTCTCCCATCCCTCCAGCTCTGTACAAGGGCTCCAAACTATCATTAAAAAAGCAAAAGAAGTTGACAAACTGGCTCTTGCAGTTTGCAGGTGGAAAGGGGAACTTCTCCACCTTCCCAGCCCCGCATCCGCGGGACCGCCTGGCTCTTCCCCATCCCTCCCTGGTTTAGGCTCCTGCCAGGGACGGTCACCGGCTTCCCGGATGGCTCAGGAGTCAGACGGCATCCAAGCAGGTTTGCCCACGCACCGGCAACGGGTGCCTTCCCACTGCCGAGACTCACCGTGTTGGGCATGTGCACCTCGGGGTTCATGTAGCCCAGGACGTCATCCAGGCGCATGATGTCATCGATGACCTCACCTAACTGCAAGGGAAAGGCGGGCTCTGCCGGGTGCCCAGCCAGGGCACTGGATCGGCGGCGGCGCCGGCGGTGCCGCCCTCCTTACCTCCTGCCCCGGGTTGGAGCCGATGTTGAGCATGGCCATGGGGCTGTTGGGCGCGCTGTTGCCTGCCGACGAGGACAGGACATGGCCAGGACGGACGCCGGGCGAGGCGGCCTCCGAGAGATAGGCCTGGACCTTCTTGTCCCGTGACTTCTGCAGGTGGTAACTGGTGGGGTTCTCCAGGTAGGACTGAACCTGCATTCCCCATCCCAGAAAGAAGCCGTCAGGGCCCCTCGTGCTGCCTCCTGAGCACCCGGACACCCCAGACACCCCCGGACTCTACCTTGAGCACCTCTCCGGGCACGGGCGGCGGGGACTGGTAGTGCACAGGGGTGTTGATGGCCGGGCTGGGCGCCACGGGCATGCGCTGCTGCTGCACGTAGTTCATCATCATCTGCTGCTGCACGCGCTCCCGCTCGGCCTCCTGCTGCGCCTGCTGCTTCATGAGCTCCATGCGGAGCCCGATGCGGGACGCCATGGCGCGGCGGGACGGGGGACACGCGGGTGACCCTGCGGGACGGCAGCGCGCGGGGCGGCAGGGCCGAGGCATGGGGAGGGCGCCTCGGAGCACGCACTGCCCGTTTGCAAACACGGAGCGAGGCAAACCACAAGGAAAAGCCAGGAGCACCAAAGAGAAAGCGAGGAGGGAGCAGGAGGAGGAGGAAGGTGCTTTAACCCTTCAGCAGCTTTAACCCTTCAGCTGTCCAGACACGGCAGGACTGACAAGGCGGCCCCTGTGCACGTGAGCACAGAGAGGCTGGCACACATGGGACCCTTGTCCCCATGCCTAGGAGACGGTGGCTTTCCCAGGGCATCCAGAAGCCGGTGGAGAAGCAGGGACTGTGGTGGGAGCTGCATCCTCTGGGATCTTATGAGCACAAAGCCCCGGGGAGCAACGTGAGGATTCGGCATCCAGGATCACCCAGGAGCCCCGGTTGGCAAATGCCGCAGCGCTCCCAGCTCTCACTGCTGCAGGATGGGGACCAGGGCTGCAGCGCAGCGAGTGCCAGCACAGCCTGCGCCACAAAATATCCTACGGGGGAAATTCAATCAAGCCAGCTTGGACAGAAATACAATTAGATGGATCAAGAGCCGGCTATTGAGCGGCAAGAGGGAGGTAATTAATTAGACGTGGTGGCCCCTGGAAAGGGGGGTGGGAGCAGAGGGCCGTTGCCACCCATGGCCCGTGAGGAGGGAGATGCTGGAGCCGCCTGGGACACTGCCACAAGGAGCAGGAGCACCTGGGGAGGCTGCTGGATCCAGCGGTGCAACCATTAAAGTGAGGCAGAAGGGGGATAAATCCAGCTGTGCACATGGCAGATATTGCAATCCCAAACAACTAGCATGGGATGAGCAGGAAAGTTCCCTGGCACAGCTGGGACGCGGGATGAGCCTATTGCTGCCATCCAGCTGGGGAAGGACACAGGGCAGGCAGCCTGCACCAGGGGAGTACAAAATCCCGGGATACTCCAGCAAAACAGGAAAGGCAACGGCCGGAAAGGGATTTCCCGCTGTGTGGGGGGACCTTTAGGATGATCCTCCTTGTTTCTGAGCCAGGCGTTACCCTGAACTTCCGACGGGAAGCAGGAACCAAAGGTGCCGGTGCCTCCAGCCTTGGGGAAACCCGGTGGGAACCGGGGCCGCCTCT